ATCCTATTTTGTATTTTATTTAGAGACAGGGTCTCACTTAGTTGCTAAACACTTTGCTGTTGCTGAGGCTGGCTTTGAACTTGCAATCCTCCTGTCTCAGCCTCCCAAGCAGCTGGGATTACAGGCATATGCCACCATGTCCTGCCAAGACTTTTTTAACTCATAAATGAAACACTGTTCTTTGCTGGGTGCATGCCTGTAATCTCAGCTATTCAGGAGGCTGAGGCAGGAGGATAGCAAGTTAGAGGCCAACCTCAGCAATTTATTGAGAACTGGACTCAAAATATAATTTTAAAAAGGGCTGTGGGTATAACTCAGTGGCAGAATGTCCCTGGGTTCAATCCCTAGAATTGCACCAAGGAAAAAAGAAACAACAACAACATCAATAACAAAAACCACTGTTCTCTGTAGAATTTGATCTTAAGGGAAGAAAACTCGAGGTTTTCATTATTAGGTCCTATTACCTGTTAGTGTTTTCAAGTTGTGAAGAAATGTCTTATATAACTTTATTTCCAAAAAGAAATCTACCCTGGTCTAAAAAATGTCCAGTGTATTACAAGGTAAAACTAGTTTTTGTAATTAAATAAGATTGGTAGCATCACACACAAAAAAATAGTAGCTCAAAAGATTTAAAATAGGGCTGGGGTTGTAGTTCAGTAGTACAGTGTTTGCCTACCATCTGTGAGGCACTGGGTTCAATCCCCAGCAACACATATAAATAAATAAATAAGAGTATTGTATCCATGTATAACTAAATATTACACACACACACACACACACACACACACACAGGGCTTCAAAACAAATAATGGAATAAAAGTATATTACTTTATTTTAAAATTTTCTTGTAGCTGTAGATGGTCAGCATGCCTTTATTGTATTTGTTCATTTATTTATTTTATGTGATGCTAAAGATTGAACCTGTGCCTCACACATGCTAGGTAAATGCTCTGCCTAGAGCTGCCACAGAGCTACAGCCCTAGCCCAAAAGTATATTACTTGTATACATTACTGATGGTGGGAAAAGAGCACAATTAGTAATAATAATAATTATTATTAAAATGCTACAGAACACTTAAGATAGCCTAGGTACTTCATATGTACTCACTTAATCCTCACAACAAGATAGATATTATTAGTCCCATTTTTATCGATGTGGTAGCTAAAGAACAGAAAGGTTAAGCTTGCATAGCTAGGAATGGCAGAGCTGAGATTTAAATTTATTCAGGCTGGTTTCAAATACTTGCTTTTAAATCACCATGCCATACTGCCTCTCTTTACATCTTTATACAATATAGGTTGGGCATCTCTATCTGAAACTTTTTGAGGGTTGAAAATGATAGCACAAGGGAAAAATTCCACACCTGACTTTCTACAATGGGTTGTAGTAAAAAAACACAGGCACGCTAAAAATATTGTATAAATTACTTTTAGGCTATGCATTTCATGTTTAGACTTGGACCTCATTCCCAAGATACCTAATTATGTATATACAAATATTCCAGTATCGACCAAAACCTGAAATCAGAAACACTTCTGGTCCCACGCAGTTCAGATGAGGGATACTCAACCTGTAGTTACTAACTAATGACAAAAAGAGATCTTTCCTCTGAAGAAGTAAGAACAGACAACAGAGATTTTTCAATTGATAAATCATTGCAAACCAAGAAGCAAACTACTTCAAGGATTTCTGAATATGGATAAATTATATCACTTTAAAAGGTTTTTAGAGGTAGAAACAGATCTAACAGATTAAGTCTTAACTTTTTCCCTTTCTAGATAAGATAGCAAAGGCCCAGAAAAGCCATTGTGTTAAGTGCTATCCAAGTTTCTCCTCAAATTTGATCAAAGCTAGGAATAAACAATGATTTATTAAAAATTAAAAAACATTGAGAAAGATGAAGAGTATATAGATTGCCTTTGCTTCATTTTAGTTTATATATTTAAATATAATAATAAAGTTAAGCGAGATTAGTTTTTTTAATGATGAGATCTGTTTTAAAAAAACAAAAACCCAACTACATAAGAAAAGAAAGTATGTTAATCTCTTTATGGGACTACAGGAAATGTAGCAGTTCAACAAAGTAGGTTGTAATCCAGGCACCCTTCACCACTAGGTAGCAAATACTTTTTGCAAGCAAGTGAGTTTTAAATCCAAGTCTCCAGCAGAAAAACAAAACCTAGTACCAAAGAAAGGCAAAGTTTAATTCAAGTATTTTCTAACTTAATCTGTTCTTTTATGTAATCTAGATACTGGGTTTGATTCTGCCATGATGGTACTAAAAGCACATGAGAATGTTTTTCCTGTCTTATAATTCTTTCTACTTTTTGCCAACTGTCAACAATTTGGCAAAATTTCTTCTCAAGGGTTTGAACACACACACACAAACATATGAATAATATTTTACTTTTTGCCTTGCATATATTTCTTTTTTAAAGATATTTTTTAGTTGTCAATGGATCTTTTATTTTATTTTTTTATATGTGGTGCTGAGGATTGAACCCAGGGCCTCACACATGACAGGCAAGTGCTCTACCCCTGAACCACAGCTCCAGCCCCGCATATATTTCTTATTTTTTAGTTCTTCTTTTAGTAGAATGGGTATGGAAATTTAAAGTGTAATTTAATAATGCTGACAGGCTAAAAATGACATTCTTAGATCTTTCAATCTGTGATATCAGTCATCATGAATGAGATAAGATATGAAGGCAAGAGTAACACACAGAAGTTCAGCATATTAACAAAGAAAAACATTTGTTACTAATTATTCTTATGTTTGAATTTCATCTTTTATTGTAAATAAGTTGACAGCCTTAACTCCAAAGATTTTTTTCTTTTATGAAATAACCATTTAAACAAGGATGTTCCATATTATACACATCTGGCAATGATCTATGAATATAAATAAACTATTTAAAAAAAAAACAGAACAGGGAAAGAGAGGTTTTAAAACAGGTTATGACTTTTGTCTCCTTTTCTTCAACTTAGAAAAAAAAAACTTCAAACAATTAAAAACCCCATTTTTCATATTTTTTTAAAAGTTGCATTAGAGAATATTAGACCACAATTGAAAATTTTAGGACTAGGAATGTGGCTGAATGGTAGAATGATTACCTCACATGCACAAACCCCTGGGTTCAATCTATAGTACTGCAAAAATACTGAAAAAAAAAAAATCCCACACTTTTCTTTTAGTCTTTCTAAAATCCTGTATATTTCTTTAATTCAATAACTTGCATTTGTCTTGTCTGGGTCATCTTATTAGGAGAAACTTTCCTTCATTATTCAGATTCCTTTCACCTTGATAATTAGAACCAGGAACCCAAGGTTCTGTGTACAAGGGTATGTTGGTTAAATGAGACTCTAGGACTCTGTTCTCAATCAACAGCTAACTTGGCTTGGACTCTAGAGACAGGGTTCTAGGCTAACATGAGTTGAGAAGAAGTGTCTAGGAAAAAAGATGAGGTCTTTGGGTTGCATTTTTAACAAGTTGCTTTGGTAAAGAGTAAAATAAGTCCCTTTGGGAAAGAAAATAAAGAATTCTTATAACATGTGACTCTTCTAAAAAAAACCTTTTCTACAATTAAGTCTTAGGATTTTCAGTATAGTTCTCTGAAGATTTCTGAATGTGGAGGAGGTTTAATTAGATTAAGTTTAATGAAGACAGCCACTTCTAATTTAAAATTGCTGTAAATTTCAAACAGATGTTCAATAACAAATTAAGTATTTCCATTCTCAAAAATATCTACTATTTTCTAATACAAAGTCAGCAAATGTTTCAAATTGAGGCCAAGTTTTCTCTGATGTGACTTCTAGAAGTAGGAAATAGTGCTCAGCAGCCAATCTGTCAGTAATCTACTTGAGAGGAAGCAAGGACTCCCTCTGATGCCCCGGGCCAGTGGCATCTCTAGAAGGAAGAAGGTAATGAGGTAAGGCAGTGGCATTTACACCAAGTGCTCTCTCTGGAAACTATTCCACCTCATTAGATTCAAACCCAGGCTTTGGAATCCAAACTACAAACTCCCAGGCAAAACTGTTATCTACTCAAAGCAGCTCAAGTGTAACAATTTACAGGGGATAGCAGCTCTAGCTACTAGAAGACTCACCACCACGTCTCCCTCCTGTGGAAGGCTGTTTGCTGGCAGCCTGTTTTTCTCTTCATTGTTGTGGTATAGGGCTCCATCATTTCTCATCACCAGACTGTGCACATCTCGGCCAAGGGGAATCTGATTCAGGTTAACCTTCTGAGTTGCAACACCAATACCCCATATTCCTAAAAATACAATGGTTTAAATGCCCCCCAAATCGGAAGAATGCAAATATAAAAGAGTTATTTTAAAAGGGAGCATAAACTGTTTTTTATTAAGAAGTATCACATTATCACTAAACTCTTTTCTTTGAATCTTTAAAAAAAAATCTTTTAAAAGTAGTTTGCAAAGTATATGTTTTCTATAGATAAGATGCAGTCTAGGAGATAAGCATTGTACTGCTAAAGTTCATATCTTGACCTAGCTATGTTATATTGAGCAAATTAATTAATAGCTATTTCCTCATCTGTGAACTGTGGAGTCTAAAAGTACCACTTTATAGAGTTAGGAAAAGATAAAATCCAATAAACCAACCAAAATAGTGAAATATTAAAAAAAAGTATGTGTGGGGGGGTATTATGTATAAAAAAATGCCAGCTATTGTCATTATTCTTCTCTTTTTTAAAATACTTATTTTTTTAGTTATAGGTGGACACAATATTTATTTTATTTTTATGTGGGGCTGAGGATTGAACCCATTTCCTCACGCATGCAAGGCGAGTGCTCTCCCTGAGTCACAATCCCAGCCCCCATTATTCTTCTCTTAAAAATTTTTTTTTAAATGCTACAGGGCTTGGAGTATAGCTCAGTGGTAAAGCACTTCCCTAGCAAGCACAAAGCCCTGAGTTTTGAATTTATACAAATACACATTGAATTTAAGTGGTCTGGAGTTCTTTCAAGATTATCTCTCAGTGAAAGATTACTGGCTTCAGTTTTTGCATCTATAAAGAGTGACAAAAAATGTATATTGTTAACAATATAATGGAGAGAAGAAAAATCAATGATAAGGAATAAAATTATTTTCTTATTAAAAGTTGAAGTCAGTGAATTAAAACCTTTTGGTCTAAGCTGACTTTTGAAACAGCAGCTTTCCTTTTAACAGGCCAAACAGAATACTTATATTTTTATCTCAAACTGCTTCCATCTCATTTTTTATAAATCAGGAGAAATTCTATACATGGAAGAAGGTTTAAAGACCATGTTCTCTTGGGGCTGTGGTTGTGGCCCAGCAGTTGCCTAGCACATGCGAGGTGCTGGGTTCAGTCCTCAATGCCACATAAAAATAAATAAATAAGCCAGGTGCGGTGGCACATGCCTATAATCCCAGCAGCTCAGAAGGCTGAGGCAGGAGGATGGCGAGTTCAAAACCAGCCTCAGCAATTTAGAGAGGTGCTAAACAACGCAGTGAGACCCTGTCTCTAATAAAATACAAAATAGGGCTGGGGATGTGGCTTGGTGGTAGAGTGCTCCTGAGTCCTATCCCTGGTGCCCGGCCCCCCCCCCAAATAAAATAAAGGTATTGTGTCCAACTACTAAAAAAAAGAAAATAAAAAAATAAGACCATGTTCTCAAAATATTAATTTTTTTGGATTGAGTGAGACCATCAGAAACTTGCATGTCTAAACTTCACCATTTTGGCCTTTGAAATAATATGACCATATACTTTGTCCTCCAAAGTAAAATTGTTATGAGAGTAACAGGAGGTGACAATACTAAATTCACAGGATAACACTAGCAGACAGGGTTCTACAGTCTCCTTACTCCTAAAGTACTGTGCACAGCTAGGTTTGGTGGTACATGCCTATAATGCCAGGGGCTCAGGAGCCTGAAGCAGGAGGATTACAAGTTTGAGGTCATCCTCAGAAGCTTGTCAAGGCCCTAAGTAACTTAGTGAGACCCTGTCTCAAAATAAAAAAAAAAAAAAATGGGGGGGGGCCCCCGGGGTAAAACCCTGGTACCAAAACAATAACAAATTAAATAGAACAAAACAAAACAAAAAGCCTCAAACTCTGCACAACTGCCTCAAGCTTTCAACATAGGATCAATGCTATAAACTCCAACAATCCATTTATCCTAGGGATATCATTAGGGATGAGATCCTTTACAGAAAATCCACATAAAAATTTTTATTAGATTTAAGGCTCAAGCTATTCAGTTTTCTTGAGAAACAATTATGTTATACTTAAGAACATTATAGTAACCAGGAATATTTTGCAGCCAGTGAGCTAACAAATGACAGATTCAGATTTATATAGTCCTTTAAGAAAAATCACTATTTAAAACTAATATAGAAGGGCTGGGGTTGTAGCTTAGTGGAAGAGTGCTTGCTTAGCATGTGTGAAGCCCTGGGTTCAATTCTCAGCACTGCAAATAAAAATATAAAATAAAGGTCCATTGATAACTAAAAAATATTAAAAAAATAAAAACTAATATAGAAAACAAGACAGGCAAGATGGTACACACCTGTAATCCCAGCTAACCTGGAGGGCTGGGGCTGGAGGATTATAAATTTTAGGCCAACTAAGGAAGGAAGGACGGAAGGAAGGAAGGAAGGAAGGAAGGAAGGAAGGAAGG